GCTTCGCGGCAACAGCAGCCGCTGTTTTCCTCGCCACGGCTCTAATCTCTGAAGCACCCGTCTTCCGACAGGACTCCACGCCCCGGCTCGAGAACCCCGGCCTCGACTGCGCCGTCTCGGAGTCGCTGGGCACTGTAAACGAACCTGCCCGTTTCCTTGGCATGGCGAGGATGTCCAGCCTGGAGAGCTTCTTCGTTTCCGTGGACTGCTTGGGGCCCGGAGCAGTGGCTTCAGAGTTAGAGGCCGTTTTCTCAGTATCAACGCACTCGTTGTCCGAAGCATCTCCCAGCCGGGCGCGACGTAGCTTTGAGGCCCTGGTGGGCCGTGGGGTGGATAAACTGTTGGAGCGGGTGAGGACCTGCTGGATCTTCTGCACATTCGAGGTCGTTTTGCTGTGGTCCTCCTTGGCAGCTGGAGTCAAAGGTTTCCTTCTGGGAACTGGCCGGGTTACCGAGTGCTCGTGGTCAGACACAACTGCGTCGGGGACTGGCAAGTAGGGCGAGCTTGAGCTTCTCTCGTCATCCGTGAAGTCAAGCGACCCTCGAGCCCCAGCGCTCCGCTTCATCTGGAAGCGTTTGGTGGCCTCCATGCGGTTTGATGCCTCTGGTGCTTGTGTCTTCCTCTTCTCCGTCAGCCTGTCCCGAGCGCTGGGCTGCCCACACTGGTCCTGGATGGGAGGTGTGGAGGAAGATTTCTCCTTCTGCAAGCTTGCAACCACTTTGCGTTTCGGGGCGCCCGTCGGGACGTTTTTGCCACTCACCAAGCTGACCGTGCTGGCAGTGTCCACGTCCGAGTCCCCTGACAAGGAGTCCTCCAGCTGACCAGCAGTTTCTGAGGGCTCCAGCTGTTGGCTTTGACTAAGTAATTTGGCTTCCAGTGCTGCCAAGGCAGTTTCAGTGTCCTTAAGGAGAAGATGAGTCTCCTGACCAAAGTCCATACGGGTCGACCGAACAGCCTCTAAATCTTTAAGCAGAGGGTGACTTGAAATATGCGGGAGTTTATTTTGAGGAACTGCGCTGCTTGATTTCTCTTTGGTAAAACTTTCCTGCCTAACAAAAGATGATGCTTCCTTTCCTGCCACGTTTTCCTGATCTTGAGGAAGACTCTGATGAAGGGAAATGACCACTTTTCCTGCTGCATTAATGTAAGCGCTGACATCTTTAACTAGTGGCTTTCCAGGAACTGGCGGGCCACCAGACTTGAAGGAAAACTCTTGATCCTTGCCGTCTTTGTCTGCTCGAGCATGGGACATGCTCAGAGAGATCTTGGAGGGAATCCCCACGTCATTGCTGTCATCACCAATGTAGAATGAAGTAGAAACTGGCTCACTTACACCTCTCACGTTTGAGACCCGGGAGGCTCCCAGCTGCTGGCTCTCTGATTTTGTGTCTTCCTCCATCTGCTCTAGCATTTTATTGTTCTCTTTATATTTCTTGCCTTTTTCTGTACTGAAGCCATCATCAGATCTGCTGGCATCACTGAGACTGTCTGGATCCAAGTCTTCTTGGATGAAAAGGCGGCTGCTGGGATCGCCATAGGCTTCCACACAGTGGTCCTTCACGATGGTTCTCTTGGTAACCTCAGAGTAGGACTCCTGGCAGACCAGCACCGTGGGCGTGGGACTGTCTGATTTATCGCTTGGTGGGAGCTGGGGGAGAAGGCGCCTTGTTCTCAAGGGCACAGCATTTTCTGGTTCTCCAGGTTTTGGGGCTACACTGCTTTCTGAAGAGAGTTAAGTGGACAAGAATTAGCTGTTGTACAACTATACTGCTTTTTTTCCTTAATCTAGGAAGATGTTGATCCTGCAAAGTGCAAGTCCACAAAAGCACTCAAGACACGTGCTTAGAACTAAGCTTTTATGTAATATGAAAATCAACAGGGCCTGGCTCCTGCTGAGTCCCTCAGGTTTATCAGCACAGACACTTCAGGTAAATTGTACCTAATTCCTTCGCTGGACCAGAGTGCTCAACACCTTCCCTCCTTCAAGGAAGAATTTCAGATTCATTCTCCCATAATCTACCTCTCAGTACAAGCACATATGTTTAGAGGCTAACGGTGTTGCTGGCATCCATCTGCCATAAAAATCAGGTCATGGGAAGGAGATCAAAAGCCATCAGACAAACCATTGCAGTGACGCAGCGTTTTAAGCATCATTCTGCACAACATAGCCCATTTGACTAAATAAATGGCATTTTTCACAGTACGAGTTCTCATAGGATCATATCCCACAGCAAAGTCTCAGAAGAAAGACCAGTAACATTGAAGAGGCTCTGAATTAGAGCTTACTGTCCCAGCGTAGGCAGGCTTATCAGTACGGACACACTTCACAGAAAGAGTGCTCTTACTTCTCCCATGCTGCTGACAGGACTTTGTATCTGATACTGCCTTTAAATACCAGGACAACTGGTTATTTGACTATGGTAATATTTCAAACACTCTGGGAGTCAGGTTCTCACACAGTGTGAAAACAGCGTCAGTGACCTCTGAAACAAAGGTTTCTTCTAGTCTTTACCAAGTCTCTCTATAGCTGTTGATGGCATGAAGGTAATGACAAATATTTCCAATGAAAAAAGGGTCAAAACGTTTACAAAAGCCAATGAAGGGCTGTTTTGCCTTTCTCGCATACCAACAGGACCAGGGGGTCTGTAAGCTGTCTTGCCAGCTACGATGGGAGCCCGATCCCCTCCCACTCCTCCCCTCCATACCCAGTTTCCTACACTAGTTTCCACATTTCAAACCTGCTACCTGACAGCAAACCCCAGAACAGCCTAAAATTTTCAGCAGCCAGACACGGGAGAATCACAAAAAAAAAAAGCCTGTTAGCAATGAAGTCCAACACAACTGGCAAAGAGCTTTCTCTGGCATCATAAGGTGGTCTAAACAATCGCTGCTCAGGGATAGTTAACACCCAAGGCCTTTATGATGTCTCTCCTTCCCAGGTACCCTTTAGTCATGTCAAACGTAACGTCTAAGAACTTCTTGGATGACCCTGAAATGCAAACCAGAGGCGCTCTCCATGTTTATTCCACTGGGAAGGACTCACTCTGTCCTTCCCATCCCCAAATACATTAGCTACACCAGAAAAATAAGCCACAGCCAGGTGCACAGAAGCCCTAATTCCTGCTTTTCATATCATCTGCTTAGATTCAGCCACCTTCAAGCAGTAATGTCAGAATGAGACTTACCTGCACCTCCATCACCCTGCCCAGACACAGATCCAGAGTCAGAGTAACTGTCCGCAAGGCTCGCCCACCTAGACACCCACTTCTGACTCCCTTGAGATGCTGCAGACATCTACAACAAGGTGGGGAAGGCAGTGTCAGAAAAAGGGTTTGTAAATCAAATCCTAGCCACAAAACCTCTTCTCTCATGCACACATCACTCAGTCTCCTCAAAATGGAAATCAATATATGCACCACATTTCCATGCAGACAGAAAACCCATCTACAGTTCCATCACCCCAGCAAATCCACCTAGACTGCCCATACCTGCGCATCAGCCTGAGACCCACTCACAGCTTTTGAGGCAAATGCCTGGAGCAGGGGTGACTTCTGACTAGTGCCATTTTCACTGATTAGATGCTGATGAGAACCGGAGTCGTCTTTTTCACCTTTAATTATTGGTCTAAAGGCTGAAGAGATCCTGGAAAATTCAGGTGACTCAAGAACACCAAAAACCTGAAAAGGTGTTTGCATGGGAAAGATTAAAACCCAAGAAAAGAGGGAAATATTAGCCCAAAATCCAAATCCATGAAGCGTTAGTCACACACAAACTACGATCCCAAAGGGCAAGAAACATTTGCCAATGCTTCCATACAAACTAAATAACTAATTTTCTTCTCTGCTGCTCAGTAGCAGCTTTAAATACACTTATTCATAAGAATCCCACTCACGCCCACCTTTTCTCTCACCCTCATTATTTCGGTGTGTTGCCTTTAACAGTGGTAACTTTCATTGAAAAGGAGTCCCTTTTCAGCTCTGAGAAATTTAGGATGAGTGTCAGGAAAGCTATGTACCAGTTAATTCATGGAGAATTAGAAAAAGCTGGGAAAGCTCCATCTCCAGGGTCTTTCATAGACTGTAGCAGCGAGTGGGCTGAGCAAAGCAGCCTTGCACTGCCTCTTGAGGACCTGGGAAAGGATGTACCTCAGAGATGGGCAAGTGTTGGAGCTAGCTGGCCAGATTCCCTCTGGAGATAAACAGGCTTTCCTGGGGATGACCAAGATCCATGCCTCAGCAGGGCTTGTTTCTCTTCCCTGACTACAAGTAGCTCAGAGGAAGATGTCACCACGGATGGTAGATAGGCTGGGCAGAGACAGCCATGAAGTTCTCCATTCTCACTTCTATTAAAAAAGCGTGTGCACGGTGGTGGGGGAATAAAAAGCAGAGTCACCTCAAAACCTCAGCAAGTCCAGAATTCATATCATCTTTTTTCCTGGACAGAAACACTGAGGTCCAGTTACTAGCTGTTTCCCAAGTGGCAGGTCTGCACCACACCAAACTTATGGCAGAGTCAGGAGCAGAACTTCGCCAGCTTGCCTGCCCAAGTCACACAGCTGCCAAGACAACTCCCCAGAAACAATTGTATTTTTGTGGCACTTTTCCTTGTATTTCCCCAGCAGAACAATTAACCAGCTAATGTCAGGACTGGGGCCTTGCTGTAGCTTAAGCACCCAGCCCTGAAAGCTTCCGATCACATTTCAAACAAAACGTAAGGAACAAGTGTAATAAACAAACAAATGAGGGAAGTTAGATCCAGGCTCACAGAACACTGTATACAAAGCTTTAAAGCCAGGTTCAATTAAGGCTTCCTTTAAACCTTCACCATCCTCCTGCCTACACTTCACCAACTCTTCACAGCAACTTGCCAGTTTTGTTTTCATAATAGACCACAGATGAAAGTTAAACCTGAAAATCAGCCAAACTTTGGTTTGCCCCGAGGTTGCTTAGTTGGGTGGGTTTTTTTAAGCCTCTCCCTCATCTGTGTGGTTTCGGTTTTAGGCTATCCTTCACCCTGCAAAATGCAAACAAATATAGGTCCATCTAGAGACTGCCTCTGCCCCTCACCACACCCTTTGCTATCTCAACTAGCTGCCACTTGCCCTGCCAGGAAGCACTCCCCGTCTAACCAAGCACAGCCAAATACAGAACCACCTACCACCACGGCTTGTGAAGGATCAAGAGCACCAGCCCCTGGCCTGCATATCCTTTGGCCTACCACGGGATGCTGCATCAGTGATGGGCTGCAGCTCCCATCTTTGTAACGGCGGGCAGGAGGCGATGCAACGCCAAGGCAGAGGCTTGGGAGCAGTTCTAGAGAGCAGAGCTCCTCCCAGCCACGGCGCTCAGCAGGATCAGCCCCATCTTTATCCTGCTGTTGCCTTTCCTCTAAAGAGATGGCAAGCCCACTCTTGCACTTTTGCATCCAAATCTCATTTTGGAAGCCAGGCAGCTTTTGCTGTGGGTTTATCTGGCCTTGCACTATGTGGGTTTTTTGTTTGTAATTTTGTTGTTTTATTGTTTTGGGTTTTCTTTAAAGACCAGCCTCTCCGTTTTTTCGAGGTCTATCCTTAACACAGGTCACCCAGGATGATTTCCCATCCCTAACCACAAATCCCCGTTGCATCCAACTCAAAAGGGAGCAGTCCTTCACAGCAACAGCTAATGAAGTCAGGCCCTCCAGCACAAGGTGCAGAAGCCCAAGCCTTCAGCCCTCAGCTCGCTGGCCAAGCACAGAAAAGCAGCATTTACCTGATCTATCATTTTTCGCGCTTCCTCCACCTCTTTATCCTGCGACTCTGTCTCGATGGTGTATGTGCCCGTCTCACTCACGCTGTCTTCCTCATCGTTCCTCCTGACCTGAGCAGACTTTACCTCTGGAGGTGGAGCAGAGACAGGCTCTGGTTCTGACGATATAACCACGCGTGGAGCTACCAGCGTGGGCAGAGGTGCCGGTTTCTCAGCGCTCTGCTTCCCAGACTGAGCAGTCTCCCGCAAGTACTCAGCCATAAAATCCTGAGCCATTTTAGACTTCCTCCCAACACTCCCGTAAGTTTTGGCTGATGCTCTGGAAGCCGAAGAGGATGAAGAGCTGATCCGATCCTCTGTCTTCTCCCTCTTGAAGGAGCCAGCTCTCTGGGTCCCAGTGGAGCTGTTACTGGGCTTGCTTGCCTGGCCCCCAACGTGGGATGGTGGCACTGCGTTTCCCACTTTCTCTGCTGGCAACACATTCTTGCGCTTTTCAACCTTGGTCTTCAGCCCCGGATCGGTGTCGCTCTGGGAGGAGTGAGCGCTGTGCGTAAAGGACTGCGACCGCTTCTTCCGCGGCGTGTCCTCGAAGAACTCAATGACGAAGGCCTGCTTGTTGTGCAGCATCTCGTGGGGATCACGCCTCATCTGGCGCTGCAGCTTGGTTTGCTCCGTCACACGTTCGCTGCCCGTTGTCGTCTCCTTCTCTGCCTTGGGTGCCACGGGGTCTTCGGAATCGCTCTGCGTCCCGTCCTCGTGCCTATTGCCTGCAAACAAGGTACGTAGATTTGACTTTCATATTCTCAGTTGCTGTGGCCCTGTCATTACCTCCCAGCTGAAATTTATCTTTTCAGTTAAAAGAAAAAAATCCTACAGGATTAAACAACTCCAAAGACATCTGCCGTGGCACAGGGATCGCATCCCATCAGAGGAAACAAAAGAGAAGACAGCTGTTGTCTGACCCCACTTTTCACAACTGGTTGGCTATCACGTTACTAAAAAACAACTCAAGAAATCATTTCAACCCCAAGGGTTTCTGATTTTGTAACACTGATTATTTTAGATAACTAATGTTTTATTTCCTTTTTTCCTTTTAAATAAAAATTATGTCATTATTTTGCCATTCTGCCCAATTACTGTAGTCCAAGATCACCTCGTTAGGTTCTCTGTTACAGAGCAGAAATATCTCTGCAGGATCAGTCAATAAATCCAACATGCTGCACCCCACAAAACCAAATCCCCACAATGAAAGACCACATCAGTGCGTTCCGAGTGCATGCACCTCTAAGCACCCACGTTACCCCACTCTACAAGGAGGAAATAAACCAGAAGCTAACAGAAAAGGGAATCTGCAGGATTCACTTTTCCTGAAGATTTAAGAATTGCACCATGACACCCCCATGAGTTACACCATCCTATCACCAGCCAAGCAAAGGTTAAATCATTACTTAGAGCTCACTAAGCTTAAATAAGTTTGTAACTATTTTCACTTACGTTAGCGACAACCATCTTTACAACCTTCTCTTTGCATCAGTGAGGCAATGCCCCTCAGCACCTTAGTTCAGGACTCTCCAAGTCAGTTAAACAAAAAGTTAAAAGTAAAACAAAAAACAAACCTTTTTTTGGAGAAGGAAACGGGTGTGAAGGCACACAACACGATTCAGTCAACGACCAGGAACCTGTCATCGGGAGAACGGGGAAAGAGGTCTCTGCGCTCTAGACTGTAACATGCAGCAAGATACACTGGCTAAAATACCACGTGTTTGAAAGGAAAACTGCTCAAACCTACTTTGCAAGTTCTCCAGACACATGGGTGAAGACCATTTATTACCTCAAGTTAGCTGTGAAAGATTAGAATTTAATACAAGATCCATTCAACCCGGGAGTCAGTTCTCTGAAGAGTTTCCTAACACCCTCATGAAGGAAGCCAGCAAACTTTGCATTGTGCTCTGAGGGCTGATAAGCTTTGTCCTCTGAAGTGAGAGTTCTTAAATTAAAAGGTCTTGGCTAAGAACTCTGCTGAATGCAAAACAGTGAAGACACAAGGAGGAACACCCACCGTGCCCATGGATGCCCCAGCAGAATACCATGCACATCCCCTCAAGCTGCTAAGACCTGAACTCTCTAGTCTTGATATCACAGGCTTTACATTCACCACACTGTTTCTGAAAGCAAACACATGTGACTAATGAAGCCCAATGGTGGGTGTCTCTGATCCTGAAGACCCAAACCTGGTAGCCAGCCAGCGGTAGCCTCCAAAACATCTTCAAAATAAGCCCTGCCAGAAGAACAGGTTACACAGCTATCGCAGATAAATGACACCCTGTCCTCTGCCAAAGCAGAGGTGGATAAGCTCCTCAGGCCACCAACACTGTATGTTTTAGACAAATGTCCAAAGACTTGATTTCTTGATATGCAAAGTACGCATTAAATCACCTCAGCTTTTTTCCCAAGCCTTATGGACTGTAAAGGAGCAAGTGCTGTCAGTCTAGTATTTCTGTTCATTGCTCAGGAAAATCCTAGGATGGGCAGCAGCTGCCTAACTCTCTAGTCTTCTCCAAGAGGAAAGAGAAAAACTACTGAAGCACATCTCTACCCCAGAAAATGTTCTCCAGCAAGTTAACAAAATCCAGTATCACAATAACAAAAAACCCCCAACCCAAACACTCTATCACACAGTCACAGTAGACTGAAAATAAGGTCCTAAATAATCAAGCAGGGCACCCCAACACTGTCGTTTATTGGGAAGAACCAGAAACAATCAATGACAACAAAACAGTTCCATTTCCATGTCATGCCAAACCCCAGGGCTGGATATGTGAAAACTTTTTGACCATAGGGGCTTCTCCAAAAACTGTACACCAAACAGCAAGTTCGAGGTGCAGCAGGTAAAACCCTTCATATTACAAGGAGTTTTTTTCCAACAAGGACCAAGCAAATACTCCTTTAAGAGAAATCAAGGCATTGCTCTCATTTAAGAAGGTCCTCAAGCACAAGTAGGTCTGGTAACCTTCAATATGACTTCATCAGATAAAGCTGCAGTTCAAAATGACAGCTGTTCCAGAGGCCTGCAAGGCAGTGAGAATGCAGGAATCAGTTGTCTCCTCCTAGCTGTTCAGTGCATGGCCCAGGAGAGACACACAAGCAAAACCAAATCTTGCAAAATATATTCAAAATTGCATGAGAATCACATGAGGCCCAACAGATGCACTAAGAGCTGGGCTTCAAACTACACTAAAGACCTTTGAAAATACCCAAAGAATTCCTCAGTGACACACTTAAGAGGACAAAGGTCCACGAAACGTTAAGTTTTTGAATGGAGCAGGATTTCAGAGAAGCTTTAGTTTCAGAGAAGAAACCTTCTTCTGCAAGGACAACTATTTCCTCCACTGGTGATCATGTGTATCTCAACTCTACCACCAGTCCCCATGCCAGGACCCCTGGTCATCCAACCAAGTGGCTCTGGTCATTACAGCCATCAAGATGATTACACTTAGCCTCTTCCGGACTATAGCTAAAAAGAAAAGTCATTGCTTCATTTAGGAGAAGCCAAGAGAAGAAAATCCACTGAAATACCTATGTTTACCAGCCTGTCTGACCACATGGAAATTATTTTAGACATTTAAAAATCAAAATCCTTTTTTCACTCACAGGTACTGCTGAGCTGGCATTATAGATGTAGAGGAACCAGATTAGAGTGTCCCCAGGCCAGCATGACACATGACATCAGGGCCAGGTGAAGAGCCTGCTAGCCGGACTCAAAACCATTAACAGTCATTAAAGAAATACTATTCATCTTGCAAATTCGGAGCAGAGATAATTAAGTCCAGTTCTTGACAGGAGAAGGGCTTTCCCCCTTTATTGTGCTGAACTTGCATGGCCAACAGAGAACTATGTCCACATGACAAGACATTCACTCACCTTTAAGCGTCCTCACGTGAACCGGCAGGTCACTCTTTGTGCTGTAGACATCGTCTCCTGGAGACTGCCGTCTCATCAAGCTTGGGTCTTTGGAAAAAAGCCAGTCAGCCACTTTGCTCTCTGCTGACATCACTTCTGTATGAGCTGGTTCCTTACTATATGGTCTTCTCTGTCTGAGTGAAAATTTAGTCACGTGGTCTTTTATCTTTATTTTACCAGGGGTACCATCATCAAATTCAATGGTGAAAGAGGCATGACTCTGTACAACAGGGGCCACTACAGCATCAACATCCTTTGTTGGGATCTCATGGACCTGCGTTTCTGGAGATTTTGATGGCTGATGAAATTCTTTAGTTGGAATCTCAAAGTAACTTGGCTCTCTCCGGAAGGCAAACACAGACTGTTCTTGGGCATCTCTATAAGCAGAAATATTACCATTCAGTTCCTCTTCATGTTGGGTTATCTCTTTTGATCTTTCTGCAACAGGGGGAAAAAAAAAAGGCAAGAAAATCTTAAATTCACAAACATTAGCTGAAATGCATTAAAGAAAAACTACAAGTTCTGTTTTAGACAGCTTTGTACTCTGGCCTCATCACTGAAATCGGTGCTTGCTGCACTGCTGCGGTTTGAGTAACATTTGTTACATTCACTTTGCCCTTTCTTCCCTTGCTCCCCAAAGAGAAGGCTCAGCACACACACACACACACAGAGGTGTATATTTTGACAGAATCTGTGTGGTTGGACATTCTAAGGTTTCTGTATGCCTGGCCTAATGTGGAAGGAAGATCCTGTTCCACTCTGATAGACTTGCTTACATGCACACCAACTCAACTCCCCACAGTTCAAAGCAAAAGCTTGAGTGTGCAAAGCTAATTACAGGCATGGTTTTGCTGGATCAACACCTAATTCCGTAACAGCACCAAGGATAAAACTACATTTTATCAGCAGTACCCAAAGCTCTTGGCTAGAAGGTCGCTTACTTATTTCAATCTCTTACGAGGGCTGCTAATCACAACCCCTCTCTGCTAGAGAACAGATACACTGCACATCCATCAAAATAAAACACTTCTTTGTGCAGTAAAGCATATGCTTGACAGAAACATCAGGTTTACTGCACAAGTGAAAAAAGATGCATCTTCCATGCCTACAGATTCACAACAATGGGAGTGGTAAAACTAAATACCTTCCAAGGATCAGGAGGTGACAAACAGGCTGTTTCCACATTAACCAAATCCAGTCAAAGCATCAGCACTTAAGTGCCTCTTAGATACCAAACTCATGGGAGACACAGCAGACAGTTTATTCAGGTGGGCTGCATGCAATCACAGACACAGAGCTGCTGTATAACTAGGTCTCAAACAAGCTTAGCAAGGCCTTTCTCATCTGTACTGAATTATTCCACAGCTGCTGTTTCCAACGTACAAATATCTTAGGGGAAACATTTTAATTTTCCATTATTCTGGTCTCAGCAGCAGCAATCTACACACAGGAATTGTCACGGGTTTGCGGGGCAAGCTTTTGGTAGCGGGGGGGCTATAGGGGTGGCTTCTGTGAGAAGCT